TCACTGCCCTAAAAATTCCTTACCCCTTTTCTTTTAACCTGAGTGTGAATATACAAAGTAGATTTATCAACAGCATATGGTTGAATCTTTTATATTTTTGTATCCAATCTGACACATTTTTCCTTTTAGCTATTGTGTTTAGAGCATTCACATTTAAAGTGATTATTAATATAGTTGTATTAAAAGGGTCTCACTCTATCACCCAGGCTGGAGTGTAGTGATGTGATCTTCGCCCACTGCAACCTCTGCTTCCTGGACTCAAGTTATTCTCCTGCCTTAGCCCCACAAGTAGCTGGGACTACAGGTGCAAACTACCACTCCCAGCTAATTTTTCTATTTTTTGTAGAGATAGGGTTTTACCATGTTTCCCAGGCTGGTCTCAAACTCCTGAGGTCAAGTGATCTGCCTGCCTCAGCCTTCCAAAGTGTTAGGATTACAGGCGTGAGCCACCACACCCAGCCTTAAAATCTATTCTTTTATAACTGTTTTCTGTCTGTTGCGTCTGGGGTGTTTTTCTATCTGCTTTTTTTTTTTTTTTCATTGTCTGGTTATACTTGAGCATTTTATATGACTTTATTTAATCTCTTCTCCTGATAAACACCTCATACTTAAAATTTTTCCGGTGGTTTTCCTACTGTTTGCAATATACATTTTTAAATAATTTAAGCCTACACTCAAATAACACTACACTGTTTAACATGTAGTATACATTCCTTATAACAGTATGTTTCCAATTTCTCCCTCCATCCCTTGTAACATTGTTGTCATTCATTTCACTTATCCATATGCTATAATCAGCCCATACATTGCTACTATTAATGATTTAAAGCAATAATTTTTAAAGTTAAGAATGACAAAAAATAAATATTTCATTTTACCCCCATTTATCCCTTCTCTGATGCTCATTTATGTTCATCCACATTTCTGACCTATATCAGTTTCCTTCTGCATAACGAAGTTAACATCTTGCAGAGCAGGTATGCTGGCAATGAATTGCTCCAGCTTTTGTCTGTCTAAGAAAGTCTTTACTTTTTCTTCTCCTTTGAAAGATAATTATGTTAGATACAGAATTCTTGGTTTGAACTTTTATTTCTTTTAACACTTTAAGGATTTCAGGATTTCACGTTATTCTCTTCTTGCTTGCCTGGCTTCTGATGAGAATTTTGCTATAATTTTAATCTTTGTTTCTGTAGGAAAGTAATTCCAGTCCACTTTCTTCATAATTTTTTCTGTCTTTGTTTTCTGCAGTTAAAGTATGATATCCTAGGTATAATCTGTTAGAGTTGCTATTTATCTTGCTTGGTGTTCTCTGAGCTGACTGGGTCGTCCATGCTTTGTTGTCTGTCACTAATGTTAGAAAATCCTTCAACACTATCATGACAAATATTTTTTTCTGCCCCATTCTTTCTTTATTTTCCTTCTGACATTCTAATTACCTGTATTTATACCTTTTTATATTTTCCCATGGTTCTTGGATATCCTGTTAATTTTTAATTCTTTTTATTCCCCCTTTGTGTTTCATTTGGTGAGGTTTTTACTAACCTATTTTCAAGTTTAGTAATTATTTCTTCAGCTGTGCCATGTTAACTAATAAGCCTGTTAATAGCATTCTGTATTTCTCTTATTGTGTTTTTGATTGCTAGCATTTAGTTTTGATTCTTTCCTATAGTCTCCATCTCTCTGCCAACATAATCCCTATTTGGTCTTGCATGTTATCTGTTTTTTCAATTAGAGCCCTCAAAATTCTAATCATACCTATTTAAATTTTCTTGTTTGATAATTTAAACATCTGTATCATGTTCAAGTCTGGTTCTGATACCTGCTTTGTCTCTTTAGATTGTTTTCTTCCTTGCTTTTTGGTATGCTTTATAATTTTTTCTTGAAAGCCAGACATATGTCAGTGTTAGGTACTAGGGAACATATGTTTTTAGTGTGATGATTGATATTAACATGGTTAGGAGTTGGCTTGTGTTTAATGTTTGTTATAGTACAGGTACTAGAGGCTTCACATTCCTCTAGTGTCTTTGATTTTTTTATCCTCTCTTTGCTTTAGGGTTTCTCTTTGTATTGGTCCTCAGAGAGCAGCTGTATGCAGATATTTCAGCTGTAATCCACTGTTACTATACTAGAGGCTTGTTTCTGTGGTGGTAGGATGTGGGAAAAAGAAAGTGTTCTACAATTTTTTTAAAAATTAAATCTTAGTATTTTAGTAATCCTGCTTTTAGGGGGAATGATCACAAACATTTCTGTCCCTCTTCCAAGAGTATAACACCCCACCCACCCATTCCAGCCCTTTGCTGCTTTTCCTGGCTGCATCATTACCAATCTATTTTTTTTTTTAATCCTTGTCCCATGTTGACTATGTTTTTTTTTTTATTAAATAAGACAGGAAGGCTGAAAGGAGCTATAGTGGGGTGGAAATTAATTCCTTTAGGTGGGATAAGACTTCTGTGTTACTCTGGAGAATAGATGTCTGTAATATGGAAGGATCTGGAAAGATTATATAATGGTTATTCTTCTCCTTCCCCCTGCCAGAACCACCAGAGGATTTCTCTCAGGTCCTCATTGTGAGAACCTGGTGGAGTTCCTGGAGGGAAAGGCTGCATTAGTGTGGTCCCTTCTGTGATAGCAACTCCTAGATGTTTTTGCAATCTCACACTAGTCTGCATTCAGCCTATAGCAATTTGTCAATATTACTAATGAACTAATTGGTTCCACTGTTACGGCTTTCAGTAGCTTCTGCTCCAGGTAAGCAAACAACTGTAATTATTTGAATGTGCCTGTCTCTTCAGATTTCAGGGTAGCAAGTTGCTCTGTGATTCCTTTGACCTCAGTTCTCTGTTGGGTCCAAGGAAAGTCATTGGTTTTCAATTTTTCCAGCTATTTCTTGTTGTAAAGATGAAAGAGATAACTCCTAAGCCCTTTGTATGTTGGTGCTAAAACCAAAAATCCTTAAACCCTTTATTTTGATATTATTTTAGACTAGTGGAAATTGCAACCATAGTACAGAGAGTTACTATGCACCTTTCTCCCACTTCCCTCTGAAGATATCAACTTACGTAATAATAGTCCAATTATGGAAATGCAGAAAATGACATTGGTATAATATGATTAACTAATCTAAAGTCTAACTTGGATTTAAACATTTTTAACATGTAATCATTGCTTATGTTGTTTTGTTTCATGTTCTTTTGTTTGGTGTATAGTTTTATTGAATATAAAGACTAAATAAGGACAACCCAAGAAGAGATCACATGAGCCAGTTTCACTCACACATAGGCATCTATCCTAAATACATTCATAACATGTTTAGTGTAAGAGTGAATAAGTAGATTGTATCCAAGAAATGCAAAAATGATATAACATTAAAAAAAATGGTTGATTGCGATTTATCTACATTGATAGATTAGAGGAGAATGGCATTTGATCATTTCCTGGGGTACAGAAAAAGCCTTTGGAAAAAAATATTTAACACTGATTCATGGTTTAAAAAAAAAGCAAAATAACATTAAAATAGGATTTCCATTTCCTAAAATCTACAAAAAGCTTACAGGAATGAGAAATGTTAAAAGCATCCCCATTAAAATGGGGACCAGGACACAAATGTATGGTAGCATCTCTACTGTTTTAAAGTGAACTGAAATACATAACCAGAGCAATAAAAATACTAAAATAAAAGGTATGAATATTGAAAGGACAGAGATAATAAATGGTGACAATATGTTCTTCTAATTAGAAAATCCACAGGAACCAGTGCACAAAATACTCAACAAACAGACTTCAGAAAGCTGTTGTATGTGTCACTATGGCAAACTCAGGAGCCTTGCCATACAAAATCAATAAGTAATAAGAACAAATAATAGAAAAATATCTCAACCATAATAGCAGCAAATATCCAAATTTGCCTAAAAAGAAACCTAACAAAAATGTACACCATCTTTTTGGAGGGAACTATAAAAATCCCAAATAAATAGATCAGTGCCCTGTGTTCACTTATGGGGAAAAGAATATTATAAAGATGCCAATCCTCCTTAAATTATTTACAGATTCACTGCCAGCTGTGGACTGAATGTATCCTCCTCAAAATTTGTATGTTGAAGCCCTAATGCCCAATGTGACATTTTTTGGAAACAGGACCTTTAGGGAGATAATTAAGTTTAAATGAGGTCATAAGGGTGGGGCCCTAATCCAAAAAGAATGTTTTTTAAGAAAAGGCAGAGAAACCAAAGTTCTCTTTTTGCAAGGACATAGAGAAGAATCCATGTGAGGACACAAGAAGAAGACAGCTGTCTGCTATCCAAGAAGAGAATCCACAGCAGAAACCAACCCTGAGGACACCTTAATCTTGGACTTCTAGCCTCCAGAACCTGGAGGTAAATAAATTTCTAGGTTAAAAAAATTATGTTGTTTAAGCCACACAGTCTATGTTATTTTGTCATGGTAACCTGAGCAGACCAATACACTATCTTACATGTAGCATTCAAGATGGCAACCAGAATTTGGCTAATATTTTCCAAAATCAACCCTGGAGAAACTATAGAAAGAATGAGAGAACAGTATCAACAACAGCAAAGAAGCAAAAATGAGAAATTCCTGAGGGACAATAAGATTGGGTTGAACCATTACTTATGTGTGGGAAACAAGTGGGGGCATACCCTCAAGTGGAAACAGGGTCCGTAGCCAGAAATAGAAGCAGATGACAGAATTAGTTGGATGAAATATTTTGAAGTGTGGCCCTTGCTTCTTCCCAGTGTGCCTTGAGACAATGAATTTATACTGCTTCACTGAATAGTGCAATCTGAGATGGCACCTCAGACCCTGTGTGCCAGTACCATATGGTAATATCATGACAGCACAAAAGTTTGGGTTGGCTGAAACAGCATGATTCTAGAAGCTGTGCTTAATAACTACCCAAAACTGGGATGCTGTTTTGTGATGCAGCTTCCCCATATGTATCTAGCCTGAGACTTTAACCCATTCTCAAGGTTTTCAGTATGGAAATGACCCAGAGCTTTCACGGAGTTGGTATTTCCCACAAAGCCTTTAATGAAAAAGCCAGGAGAACTCCCTACTCCTCCCCTCCCGCAACACCCAAGGTGGAAATCTGACAGGACAACCTACCCCAGAGGCAAGGAGCCCAGCTTGTGCTGAGCCCCAGCCCTACTTTCACTCCTGGGAGGCCCAGGGCAGAGCTATCAGCATGAGATACCCTCTGACTTCCACCTCAAGGGTCTCAGGAAGATGAGACCCGTAGTCTGAGGAAGCCAGCCTAGGCTGTTCAGAGGAGAGACATGATTCGGAGGAAGAAGGGCCCTCCACTTCCTCCCCTCCTCTTTATGGTGTTAATCGCCAGAGCTCCCCTGGTACTGGGCCAAGTAGCAAATCTCCGGGCCCTCAGAGGGCCCCATCCACTACCAGTACTTCTGCAAGTGTTTCATGCACAAAATTTGATGAAGGTGCCGAGAGCCAAGATGAGGAAAAAACAAGCACCTCCCAGGCACCACCGACCACTGATCTTTTGAGCACAACCCCTCTAGACCAGAAGGCAATGTTGTTGGTGCAGTTCCTGCTGCACAAGTACAACATGAAGGAGCCCACAACAAAGCATGACATGCTAAAGTATGTCATCAAAAAGGAGAAGGCGCACTTCCATGAGATCCTCAAGAAGGCCTCTGAGCTCATGGTGCTGGCCTTTGGCATTGTTGTGAAGGAAGTCGATCCAACCAGGCACTACTATGCTCTTATCAACAAATTGAATCGCTCCTGTGATGCAAGGCTGAGTGATGAGGAGATCATGCCCAAGACTGGCCTCCTGATGACTATCCTGTGTGTGACCTTTATGAAGGGCAACTGTGCCACTGAGGAAGATATCTTGCAGGTGCTTAAGGTAATGGGGATAGATGCCAGAAAGAACCACTATTTCTATGGGGAGCCCAAGAAGCTTATCACCCAAGATTTCATAAAGGAAAGATACCTGGAGCGCCAGCAGGTACTCAACAGCAATCCTGTGTGGTATGAATTTCTGTGGGGTCCCAGAGCCCATGCAGAAACCGGTAAGATGAGAGCCCTTGAGTTTTTGGCCAAGATTCATGATACTGCCCCCAGTTCCTTTCCATCTTTGTATGAAGAAGCTTTGTGAGATGAAGAAGAGAGAGTCCGAGGCAGATTTGCAGCTATGCCTCCTACTAGTGCCCCGGCCAGTGCACGTTACAGGGTCAATTCCAGCAGCTTCACCCTTAGAGAAGTATGAAGCACTTTCCTCACTTTGAAGAGAACACTCAATCTTTTAAGTAGTGGGAGGCCCAGGCGGTGTTAGAGGGACCATAGTACATATCATATCTGTATTCCTGTTCTACATAAGTAACTTGTACACTTATCTTTTGTTTTTGTTGAAAGTTTTCAAATGTTATTTATTTTATAAAAACGTTAATTAGCTTTAGAATCTAGCTGTATGAATAATATTGGTTACATATTTAATGTTGTTCATGAAACTTTAGAGTTAAGAGGCTTTTTTTTTAAATCTGTTAAAACAAATTGAGAAATCTTTCATCTTATTTACTGATCTGGAATGAAAAAACATGACACGGAAATAGGCATTTCCTTAGAAATGTGAAATAATCAGCAGTAAAATAGTTGGGATTAAGAAATAGAGAAAAAAGTAAAAGGTGGTAAACTCTTGTATTTCCTTGTTTCTTCTATTCTGTTGTTCTGTAAAATAAAAGTTATATACCCAGATTTGCTTTGCTTATTCAAGAATGTAGAAACCATTAAAGAGTTAATAAATTTGACCTCTTGTTCACTAGCTTTTTTATTCCTCAAACATTAGTTGAACATCTGCTCTTTGGAAAGCTCAACGGTAATACCAGGGATGGTAAGAAAAAGAAGTCCAAGCCACTGTCCATGAAATTTTAGAGTCAGTAGCGCTATCCTATAAGGAAGACAGTGAGATACCGTGTAAGACATAAAAGACAAGTGAAAAAAATATATGGTGGAGGGGGCTGGAAAAGGGGAGGTCCACAGGAGAGTAGTCAAGTGTAAACACGCTGAGGCAAGGCAATTTGGGACTTTGGAAAACCTTAAGCCCCTCAATGGGAGATAGTTTTAAATTAAGCTGGGTGGCGGATCAGAGGAGGGTATGGGAGTGGTGAGAGGGGCAGGATCCTTGGTGGTGTGTCTCAGAGTTAAGACACAGTCTGGAATGGAGAACTGCCTTTAGCTTTTGGCTTTTAGTTCTCCACCTACTGCAGGGATGGAAAATGCCCTGTGCTATTGTCCCAGTGCAAAAACTAGGTGTTCTACGTATTTCATCTCCAGCCAGTTTCTGAGAAATAAGGGTGATACCCTCAAGGGAGGTGGGATACCCAGAGGCCATTGTGCTGGCACTTTTTGCCTTGGGTTGGAGAGTCCATTTGAAGGGCATTTTAACTAGGTTAATTTCACTATAATTTGGAAAATTAGGGGAAGGCTATATTTTGATAGGAGTTAAATGAATGAAAATAGGAGTGGTTTGGATCAAAGGGCAAGTGAGAGGGAGAGAAAGAGTTGGATTTTGACACACATTCCAGAAACAGAGCTGCATCCAGATGGGGAGGATTCCCCAACATCCAAATTAAACTACCCTGCAAGGAGGAAGACTTACTGAGGCTCTTTCTTTCTTGGGAGAATTTTTGACTAATTTGGTGTTCTGTCTCCTACAGCACTGCATTTTCATGGACATTTACTTCTCTTGGATTAAAAAACAAAACCAAAAATATCCCAGTCGAAGGGGTGATATTACCTAGGGTAAAAACAAAATCATAGTAATAAATGTCACTTTTTAATGTCTCAATGCACGCCAGTCACTGTACCAGGTGCTTTACATACATCACACACAGTCCAACAGTCCTAGGGGACAGGGCTTATCAAATCCACTTCACCAATGAAGAACTCAATGTTCATAGAATTGGGTAATGTGTCTACTTCCCACAGCTAGTAAGTGACAGGATGGGACTAGACTCCTGGTCTGCATTCCTCTAGAGCTCACACTGTTCCACTCCTCCCAGCCTGAGGCAGATCTTGGGTCTATTAATCCATTTCTCTTCTCAATACTCCAACATGTCTCTCAGACAATCAAAATAAAGATCCTATGGTGGAAGCACTAAAAGCAGGCCTGAAAAAAGTAAGGTGAGAATGAGACTCAGACACAATCTGGGACTGTCTGTAGGGTTCATTGGCCTGGAGTCCTCCCTCCCTTAGCCCTAGATTCTTCCAGAGCTGACCCTGCCGTGGTCCCTTCACATGAGTCCAGTCCAGCACTTTTTCACATTACTGTACCCTTCCCCTGGGTCTTCCGCAGTGTGCCCTCCTGTCCAGAATGGAACAGTCCTGTTGGTCAGCTGCACTGCAGCCTTCTCTGGAGCCCCCACCTGCTCCTAGAGGAACACACAGCCCAGACTCACCTGCCTTCTCCAAGACTTAATTGACATTCCAACTGCCTATAGGTCCTGCCCCTTACTGTGTCCGGAATTCATTCCTTCCAGTGGGTTCTTGGTCTCACTGACTTCGAGAATGAAGTTGCAGACCCTCACAGTGAGTGTTACAGTTCTTAAAGATGGTGTGTCTGGAGTTTGTTCCTTCAGATGTTCAGATGTGTTTGGAGTTTCTTCCTTCAGGTGGGGTCATGGTCTCGCTGACTTCAAGAGTGAAGCCGCAGACCTTTGCAGTGAGTGTTACAGCTCTCAAAGGTGGTGCCTCTGAAATTGTTTGTTCCTCCTGGTGGGTTCGTGGTCTTGCTGACTTCAGGAGTGAAGCCGCAGACCTCTGCAGTGAGTGTTACAACTCATAAAGATAGTACAGACCCAAAGAGTGAGCAGCAGCAAGATTTATTGTGAAGAGTGAAAGAACAATGCTCCCACAGCATGGAAGGAGACCCAAGTGGGTTGCCACTGGTGGCTCCAGTGGCCAGCTTTTATTCCCTTATGTGGCCCCACCCACATCCTGCTGATTGGTCCATTTTACAGAGCACTGATTGGTCCATTTTACAGAGTGCTGATTGGTCCATTTTCGCAGAGTGCTAATTGGTGCATTTACAAACCTTTAGCTAGGCACAGAGTGCTGATTGGTGTGTTTACAACCCTTTAGCTAGACAGTAAAGTTCTCCAAGTCCCCACCCCACTCAGAAACCCAGCTGGCTTCACCTCTCATTACCGTGGACTCTCTTGACAGAAGCAGCCCCTTTCTTGTATTATAACTGCCCAGTTAAAACAGTGAAGCTTAGACACCTCTTCATCTCTCTACATGCATCCACCACACTCAAAGGGTTTTCAAATCTGCTAGTCGGGAGAGTGTGATTTGGCACAGAATCTACTGGTTCTTGCTTTATAACCCAGAAGCTAGAGAGAAGATTTTGGAAACCATCCTGAGGTTTGAGATCGAATTTTAATGGGGTTAATTATTCTAGACTGGCCTCTGAACACATACACCAGTTAGTGAACTTACCTAGGTAGTCTAAAATCAAAGCCTCCTCCATAGGCAGTCAGTGAGGAAAGACCGCTGGAATCAGTGTGTAAGCAAACATCTACTGTGGCTAAATCCCTAAAAACCCAGAAGTCTTTCTAGGTGATTAGAAAATGGTTCCATGGCAGATGTGGCAGCTTTGATAAGAAAAGAAGAAATAATTCAGTATTCTTCCACTGCCCATTGTCTTTCTGTTTACTCCTAAGGAAAATTTTGGTTTTAAGTAATAGTGCAGATATTCTCACTGTCACAAAATTCTACCAGTATGCATAAATCACAATTCCCCTTAGTACATTTCGTCAAAATTCATACCTCTCCTCGGAAGTAATCACAATTAATAATGTTTGTTGTTTTAAAATGTATTCTAGACTTTTCCTTCCATACTGTGCTATAAAAAGTACATTGTGAGTTTTTAACATACAACATACATGGATAACAGTATACATATTTTTTTCCCCTCTTGCCATTGTCACTGAATGAGGTGAATGCAAAAATCTTTCTGTGAGAGTACGTGTAGATCCACTTTACTCTTTTAACTACTCCCTAGAATTCTAAAGTGTGTATGTGCCATAATTAATTTAACCAATCTCCTCCTGATGGACACATTAGTTGTTTCCCATTTGCTGCTATCATTTGTAGAACTGATATCAACATCACTGACCATGAATTCTTGGGCAAATATGCATATTTTCTTACAGGAAAGAGATAGCAAAGTGTAAACCGGATTAAAGTGGGAAAAAAATGTGATGATTGTAAATGTTTATTAATATTTCTGAAATTCTGTTCTAGTAAAGCTGTTCCAATTCATATTCTTGCATATTAATGTATGTTGGTAATCTACATTCTCATAGGCATTTTATTTTATCAACCTTTTAAATTTTGGTCAAACCTTGGGGCGATAATATATGATCTCACTGTTATTTTAATTTCCCTGTTTTCTAAGTAGGTTGAGCAGAAAATTAACTTAATCCCTCATCCATAGATAGTGGAATTCCTTTAGTGATGTCTTGGGTACCAGGATTTTCCTGGGCATGCTTCAAAATTCTGAAATATCAATAAGATACTTCCCTTTACTTTGAGGAGGAAAGATTTGGTCAGAATCACCGGGTGCTAGGGAATGGGTCTATACAGGATACTCTCAGCTAGTGAGGAACATCAGGAAGACCTGGGGAGAGAGAACATCAAGTTTATAGAGCACAGGTCCCCCAAAGGCCAGGATTCCATGATATATTCTGTATATAACTGTTATACCATTGTTGTCAATATTGTAGATGTGGGACCTCTTATTCCAACTTAAGCCTTCCCCATAAATCAAATATCTGACTTGAAGGCGGAGAAGTCTGGGTGGGGGAACTGCAAGCCAATTGTCTTGTCTATTCAGCGCTCCTTCATCCCATTCAGGCCTGAGGTCACTTAGACCACACATCACTGGGATTCCCTAAGCACTATTGGGAAAGCTTGGTGCTAGAAGACTCTTCCTCAAACATGAACTTGACATTCCTGCACAAGCATCTACCTGTGTGGATTCCATTCTGCCCAATACACGGTATCCCAATTTTGTTGCTTAGCTCTCCAGCACTGCAGAAATGTGGTCACCTACCTCTGCATGCCCAGCCTACCTTGCCATCCCTTCTCTTGTTTTCA